GACATGGCCAAGTGAGGCACCCGGGTGCCCACCTCGCTGCAGAGCCTCACAGACATGGCCAAGTGAGGCTCCACTGGGAGTCACCCCCCAGGAACAGCCTCTGGGTAACCCTCAGAATAAACAAGTTCCAGGTTTGTAAATAGTGACACTGGAGCTGGATGCCAAGATGGTTTTATTGGAAGAGCTGTTCAGGCAGTGGCAAGAGGATGGAGGGCCAGAGTTCCCACCTGGGAATCCAGGCTAAGGGAGATCAAGCAGTGCTGACACTGGTAATTGCCACCTGGGACACAGGTTTACCAGCAGGTTAGGAGGGATCACATTACTGCTCCAGCAGCTGATTGATGGCCTAGCTGAGTGCCTTGAGTCTCTAGTGACAGATGTCACAGCTTATGCTGGCAGTGAGTTACTGTCCCCACAACATCCTTCACACAGTGGGCTCCTCTTTGCTGCACACAGCCAGGACCTCCCCCAGCTCTCTCTGCTGTGGGACTGCAGTGGTTAAGAGCACAGAGGTGAGGGAAGGAATCCTTGTTTTCCTGGAGGGAGCTGACCTGGTTGTTCTCAGGACTGATCAAGAGCTGATCTCAGCAGCAAGGAGAGCTGAGAGCTTTTTCCAAGTATGCACTGGGAACCAGACCTCAACAACTCCCACTACAAACCCCTCAGATAATTCCCCTTTCCAGATGCTTTGAAATGTGTGTAGGACATGCAAAGGCTGTTATGGAAGGAGAGGGAATCAAAGAGCAGTCACTGCAGTGCAGATGGTTCTCAAGGCAGGTTTTGATGCAATTAGTTTGCTGGATTCAGTAAGTGTTAAGTCAAAGCTCAGCTTTACTTTTTTATTAAATAAGATACAAAAATGTCCCATCACCTCAGCATTCAGGTGCTGTCACTTTTGACAGAGCCTGATGCTACCTGAGCTCCATCTCAGCTGCACAGAAGCTTCCATGGGAAGAGATGTGGATCCCAGCCCTGCCACCACACGGATGGTCAGGACTTGGCAGCAGGTCCCTCCCCCTTCCTGATGATCTCCAGGTCCTCACAGTCCTGGTACATTGGCTCCTCCACGAAGTCCCAGACCTCAGGGGAGAGCTCCTGCAGTTTATCCAAGGGAAACCAGTGCACTGAGGTGTCATTGAAGGTGTCCAGGTACCGAGGGTGACTGGGGAGTGCCACTTCCTCTACTCCTTTCAAGACCTAAAGAGCATTTGGGGAAAAAGTTACAGACAATGCAGAAGCCCCTTCCTGCAAAGCTGAGTCAGTGAGGATGAGAATGGTGTTACATTACCCTCAGCCCCTGTGGGCAGGATGTTCTGCAAATGTTCAACAATCCTAAAGTGATTAGCTTTTCTATTATAATGTATAGGAAAAAGGTTTTAAAAATAACTCTCCTCTTCTTTCCAATGGCAATTAATTTCCTTTCTCATTAAAAGGTGTGTTGTCAACATGAAACGATAATGTTGCCTCATACCTTTGCTATGTAAGAATAATCTCTCTCCAAGATTCTGGACAGCAATCTGCAATAACAGAAGATGTCCACATTAGACAAGACGTTCCTGTGGATTTAGACAGGTTTCTGCATGGGACAGACACGGGGGGAAAGGGCTCATGACTGAAAACTTTATGGCAACGAAAACGCACAGAACAGGGAAAGCTGTCGGAAGCAATAACGTAGTGGGACAGAGAAGAGGAAAGCAGGGTGGGAGGCACCAGAGCTTGACCAGGGTGAGTCCAGACCTCTCCTCGATTCCTCGGAAGCTGTTCCCGATGATGACCAGCTTGGAGAGCGCCGCTGGGCTCCAGTTGCTCCACAGCAGGTTGTTGTACAGAGCCTTCCCGCAGTGCACCATGTAGAACAGCGTGGCCGAGCCCTCCACGCCGTGCTTCCCCTCCTGCCCGTGAACCGCCGAGCCCGTCACGGCCGAGCCGTGTCCGCGGTGCCCCGCGGATCCCGGGCAGTCTGACCCGGGGGTGTCCTCACCTCATTCTCCGCGAGCAGGCACAGCCCCAGCGCTCGCAGCGCCGCCGCCTCCCGCTCCGAGAAGGCCGGGTCGAACAGCGCGCAGCGGGCGGGCGGCACCTACGGGACAGGGCGGCTTGAGCCGGGAGGACCGGCCCGGTTCTGACCCCGCTGCTCCCCCCTTCCCCGGTCCCGGTGCTCACCCGCAGCTCGTCCAGCAGCAGCAGCAGGAAGGCGAGCTGGTACCGTGCGGCGGGGCAGCGCCCGAACCGGCCCAGCCCGTAGCACACGCAGCGGGCGGGCGGCTCGGCGGGACCGCTCAGCGGGGCTCGCAGGGCTCCTGCGGGCGGCGGGGTCAGCGCGGCGGCACCGGGGATCGCTGTCCCCGCACCCCCCGGGGCTCCCTAGCCCCGCTGTCCCCGCACCCCCCGCTCCCCGCACTCACCGGCGCTCTCCGCCCAGAAGCCGGAGCTCAGCAGATCATCCCTGCGGGGAGAGCGCGGCGTTCAGCGGAGCCCGGCAGAGCCGAGCGGGGAGCGGGCACACGGACCAGGGCCGGGCACTCACCGCGCCTCTCGCAGCCGCCGCAGCACGGCTTCGGTTGCGGGGCCGCCTTCCTCATCCTCACCCTCCTCCTCCTCCTCGCCCCGGCCCCGCCGCCGCCGCCGCCGCGCACGCCCCGCTCGCCACCCCCCCGCCGCCGCCGCCATGCGCGCGGTCACGTGCGCGGTCACGGGACCGGGGGCGCGCCCGGAACCGGCGGCGGGAGCGAGCGGCGGGATCGCGGAGCATCCCGGAACCGGCCGCAGCATCCCGGAACCGGCCAGAGCATCCCGGAACCGGCCGGAGCATCCCGCAGCCATGGCCCGCCCCGCCGCGCCCGGCCCCGCGCCATGGTGAGCCCGACCCCAGACCCGTTCCCCGCTCCCCGCCTCCCACCCACGCGTGCCGCTGTCCCGGGAAGCACCTTCGGCCCTTTGCTGATCGCTGTCCCCGGTCGTGCGTGAGGTCTGGCAGCCCCCAGGGCTCAGCAGGTCGGATTCTGTCCGCGGGTCACGGGTCCAGCCTCCCGCTCCCATCCCGGCGGGTTCCTCGGTGCCACCTTTGAGCCAGCCTTGGCTCCAGACCTGGGCTGTTCCTACGGGAAAAGTCCCGCATTGAGCTCGTTCCGACCTTGTGACCGGGTACTGGCTCACAGGACAGGATAAAAAGTGTTACTGAATACGCGCATTCAAGAAATTATAAGCACAATGACAACATCTTCAGAGAGACCCCGCTGGCTCCTGCTCCTCCTGCTGCAGGCAGCACCCAGGAACTCTTTGGGATGGATATGGATAATAATTATCTATAATTATAATAATTATTGTACCCCCATCACACGAGATTATTATAATTATCATCAGGGTTCCAACAGGTACAGTATCTCACAAATCCACTTCTTCCACATGTCTAAGAGGTGGAGTTATAGAACCTATTTTAAACTCAAAGGCTGGTCAAATTTAGTCATGAGAGACCCTTTTGGTGCTGCTTTTGGGTGTAAACTCGGTGTGATTGTGCAGAGAATCATGTCTCTCCATTTGCAATAAACTTTTGTTGCTCTTCCAGAGAAATAGAAAGGAGAGGGACAAGGATAACAGTTTTCAAATGCACTATCATTTCTGCCAATGTTTTTAGGTGGAATTACTTTTTCCTTTATGATGGCTCAAAAGTGAAGGAGGAAGGGGATCCTACGAGTGCCGGGATCTGTTATTTTTACCCTTCCCAGGTAATGTCTGCTTTATTTCAGTACCTGTAAAGTGCTGATGGTTTTAGATTGGGAGGAGTTGGGCTTCCAGGTGATTAGATTAATCCTTACTTAGTAGTCACAGAACTTCTAAGAATTTTTTTAAGAAATCCCAATTATCAATTAGCTCCAGGTGGAGCAGGGCTGGGCTCCACCAGGCTCGGGGCACAGCAATGGGGTTACACTCTGCACAGCCCAGGTCTGTCCTGGTGATGTAAATACACACACACAAGGGATGAAAGTGCCTCTCCATAAGCCCCAGGCCCTTGTGCTGCTTGGAAAAAGCAATCCATTTTTTTTTCTCCCAGAAATGTGCCTGTTCTGCTGTGTTTGATTTATAGAATCCCAGAGTTATTAAGGTTAGAATAGACATTTGAAATCAAGTCCAGCCATGAACCCAGCACCCTCTTCACCACTAAACCTGTCCCCAAGTGCCACACCCACACATTTTCTGAACACTTCCAAGGATGGTACCTCCACCACTGCCCTGAGCCAATGCCTGACAATCCTTTCTGTAAACTGAATTGAAGGGATAATTACTTTTTATTTATACCCGAAAACAGCAGTGATTTCTTTTTTTTTTTTTGAATTCTTTTAATGGGAAGTTAAAGCCTTTGCTCCCTGGCAGACCATCCCAGAGCAGCAGGAGCTGCTGTGTGGGCAGATGGCCGGAGTTGTTCGCTGCCTCACCGAGATTTCTGGAGCCCCTCCCTGCCTTATCCGCCTCAGGAAGCTCAAGTTTGCTGTGGTGGTGGATGGAGACTTTCTGTGGGTGAGTTCAGACAAAGAGGGTTTATTTTTCCTTTGGGTGTGGGCACAGAAATGAGGTACTTGCAATTTTTCTGCAGGAAGCTGAAGCGAATGCTGGGCCACAGAAAACAGAATTTAAGTTATCTTGCAATGAAACTTGTGAACTGCAAGGACCCTCCCCAGCTCTTCCTGAGTGCAGCCCACACCCAAAGGGATTTCTTAAGATGTTCTTGGCTGGAAAAAGAATCCCAAAATCTCAGACTGGTTTGGTTTGGAAGGGTCCTTAAAGGTCATTCAGTTCCACCCCCTGCCAAGGGCAGGGACACCTTCCACTATCCCAGGCTGCTCCAAGCTCAGTCCAACCTGGCCTTGGGCACTTCCAGGGATAGGGCATAACAGGATTCCATGTGCTGCAGTTTGTAAGGACACAGTCACTCTTTGATAATCTGATTGTTCTTTCCTTCTAGCCCTCAGCATCCCCAGAGCTTTGTCAGTGTCCACAGGCATTTAGTTTATAAAGAGCAGCGTGTGGCAGTTGTGACAAAAGTGCTCCAAACCATCCCCCGAGAACTGGGCTGAGGCCAGTCAGCTCCATTTAATTGGCACTGCTGCTTCTGTTTCAGCAACTCAAAAACTAAATTGAGCATCATCATAATATAAATAATGAGTTAATTTGAATATTTTGAAGTACTTAGTTTCAGGAAAATATTCTTAGTAATTAAAGCACCAAGTTAGGTCATCTAATGTGGGAAGGGAGCGTGTCTGAAGTGCTGCATTTCTGATATTTATTTATCCTGTCTGTGCCAGGACTTTTGTGTGGGTATGTTTGCATTTCCTTTTGCTGTGACTGTGATTCCAAGGAGTGTTTGCCTGCACAGAGTTGCCTGTCCTTGTGTGACAGCGATGAGAGTTGTTCTCACTTGTCGTGCCCGAGTTCTGTCAGACAACATTCTCCATCCTTTGCTGTGTCTGCTGCAGGTTCTGGGCTGTGCTGTGGAGCTGCCTGACGTGAGCTGCCGGCGGCTCCTGGAGCAGCTCATCGGCCTCTTCACCTTCTACCAGGGCCCTGTGCGTGGGGCATACACGGTAACGAGGGACTGGGGACATGGGGACACAGTAACAAGAG